TCTGCCTCTCATGACCTTGTGTAATTATACACCGAGGTACATTGTCCTGTGTTACAATGATGACAATGTTTTGACTTGTTAACTAGCTAGTGATCATTTTATATTATTATTACTACGTATTACTTTGTTATATAAATATTAGGTTATGGTATTATTTAATCCACAACGAAACAGTAGATTAATTATTTAATACTGTAGATAAGATACTATGTTATACCACTGTAGTTGGATATGTTGTTAATCTGAATCTTAATTGCTATTCAGTTGGCCTTCGGGATAATTACTTTACCATCGTTTATGTAGGTTTTGTTTATAGATACCGTAAGTTAATGGGAGCTAACGAATTGCTATTGTAGATGGACTGTGTTGGTTTTTTTAATAAAAAGTTTTGTTTTAAATAGTTTAATAATATCTATCGTCAAAAACGTGTAATTTAACATTAACTCAATAATACAGACTTTAATAATAATACTTACTAACTTTAATTTACTTTAATTGCATTTGGTGCGTTATTTACGTTTACATAGCGTTTATTATTATTAACTACTGTACTTTACTTTTAATTAACGATTTTGTTAAAGTTTCTTTATATCTAATTTATTATCATTTATGTGCTTAGCTTAATTCCTTGGTAAGATCGTTCTCGAATTCGACTGAGATTACGTGTGACCTTGAACCTGTTATTAATTTCTAACTTGTCTTTATATTTTAATAAACTTATTGATTTGCTTTATAAATTCGGTCTTCTTCTCTGTCTGTCCAGTGATTGAACCAATTTAGATAATTCCTCGTCTTGTACGAGTTGTGCTGGTCACACAATTTTATGGGAACAGACGCAAATTTATATGGGAAAGATTATTTTGTTTACAGAAAGTAGGCCTTATAATAATAGCTATAGTAAAATTAATAATAATTAATATTAATACTTAAAATAAACAAACCAGCACAGTCCTGATACTTTAGCAGAGTGATGGCAAGCCCACCGCAACTTACCCCTTACAACGCAGAGCCAAACGGCTGGACTTCAACCAGTACAGGCAATCTGACACCACTGCAAATGGCAGGATTCGATCCACAATTTGTTACACCAACCACATCGGATCGATCAACGCAGTCGCTACCACTACCAGTACAGAAACTAAACTACTCGGATGCGGACGATAGTTCGCAATTACCAAGCTCTGGAGTTATTACTACGCACCAAACAAAGCCGGTTGCCCCGTTTTCGGGTCGCAACAATGGCCACCAAATAGAAGACTGGATAAGGGACATGCGGTTCCTTATAGAGTCAAAGAAGTTAAGTGATAGCGCTGCCTATGGTGAGGTCATACGCCATACACAAGGTAGACCCAGAGATTTAGTACTAAATCTAGAAGCAACGGCCGACGCTGGCAAGAAAGCAACAGCTGCGTTTGAAGAATTGACTCTAGAGTATGGCGAGGCTAACCCCACAATGTCACCGATGGCTAATTTCTATGCTAGCGTTCAAAGAAGAGGAGAGAGTGCGGCTGATTTTGCTATTGTGTTGGAGGCCATGCTGAGAAAGGCAGAACAGGTAAAATCGACAACATTTGACGATCATGACTAAATGCTTACCACCCAGTTCATGTTTGGGTTAACTGATCTGAAGGTTCGAGAGAGACTGGCCCCTATGAAATCAAGAGATATGCTGTTCTCGCAGTTGCGACGTGAATTGCGAATAATTTCAGAGGAACAGATCCTCGCAGACAGAAGGGCGTTTTCACTAAACCAAACAGTTGAGAAACCCAGCACATCATCTCAGATTGATAGATTGACAATTGCACTGGAAAAGCAACTCGAGGCTACGAAAAGGTTAATCGACAATCAGCATGTTTTATCGGATAGGTTACATCAACTAGAAATAGCAGGGCAATTCACCAGTAATCAGTCGTCGATGAACCAGAGGTACCAACCCATGCCATCGCAGCCTCCCCCACAATTTCAAAAGAATCAGGGGTATCAATCTCCACCATCACAACCTCAACCAAAATTTAAGCAATCAAAAGTGAGGTGTTATAACTGCCACGAGTACGGACATATCGCTCAATACTGCTCCAAGCCTTTAAACTAGTATCACCTGCTGTTGAGGGACAACCAGTGGGTGCGGAGAAAGAGAGCCCGATTTTAAATATTTTGGACAGTGACGACTAGGGCCCCAAGATAGTTGGGCACGCAAATACATGTCAGGTGCATGTGAGTGGAAAACAATGTGTAGCATTATTGGACACCGGCTCCCAAGTAACAACCATCACCTCTGAATTTGTAGAACACCCAGTTTTATCAAAGGCAGATATCCTACCAACGGATATCGTTATTGAGGGTGCCGGAGAACAAGCTGTTCCGCACAAGGGAGTAGTGTGTATCGATCTGCAAATACTTGGAAAACAAATCAAGACAGTACCGGCTTTGGTTGTGTCCGCAACTTCAGCTAGGCGGAATATTCCATGTTTAATTGGTACCAATGCTATTCGTGCTAGCCGAGATGTCTTCCATACGAAATACGGGCGTTCCCTGATGCAGAGAATTCAACGCATCTCCTCTCCGTGGCATTTAGCATTTTAATATGTAAATACTGATGGAATGGATTTGGCGACCAAAAATGGAAACATTGGCATGATCAAGTACATGGGGCGACGCCCAATCACAATACCGCCTGGTACTCAACGAGTAGTATCAGCTAAGGCACCCAGAGTGATCAAAGACAGGGAATTTACTGAACTCGTCGAACAAATTACTAACGATGTTAACTCACGTGACCATGATTTGATAGTCGGTTGTGGTGTTGCTGAAGTTTCGAAAGGTTGCGTACCAGTTACCATTGTCAATTCCTCATCTCAACCAATTAAACTGTGGCGACGTACGTGTATAGCTAACCTGGCTGTAATATGATATCTAACATTGAAGGTGGTGATGCGAAAGATGTCTGTCTCAGTATGGAGGTTTCTGCTACTAGCGGTGACGAGGAAGTTTCTGACGATCCCGACCTTCAACCGGACGTCATTCGACGCATATTAGAGAAGAACAGCGACATCTTTTCCAGTCATCCCAATGACATAGGTTTTACTAATAATGTGGTGCACAGAATCCCACTAATAGACCAAACGCCGTTTCGATTGCCGTACAGACGCATTCCCCATCCGACTTTAAGGAAGTTCGCGACCATGTGAAGGATTTACAGCAAGCAGGAGTTATTCGGGCAAGTCAAACCCCATTCGCCTCACCTATTGTCGTCCGAAAGAAAGACAGGAGCGTGCGTCTATGCGTCGATTACCGAAAATTAAACTCCAAGACTGCTCGTGACGCGTTCCCCTTACCGAGAATAGAGGAAAGACTCGATTCCCTCGGCAAGGCAAAATATTTCTCCAGTCTAGACTTGACATCAGGGTAACTTCAAATTAAGATGGACCAACAAGACCAACACAAGACAGCATTCACCACTCCATTTGGGCTGTTTGAGTATACCCGTATGCCTTTTGGGCTTATGAAAGCTCCAGCATCATTTCAATGCCTAATGAATACTGTTTTTGGCGATCTCAATTTTACTGATCCTTTACTCTACTTAGACGACATCATCGTATTTAGCGAAACAATCGAGGAACATGTACGGAAACTCCAAACGGTATTCGATAGCCTTCGTAGTCACGGTCTGAAGCTAAATAAATCGAAATGTCATTTTTTAAAGAAGAAAGTACAGTATCTTGGCCATCGCGTTTCGGCGGAGGGTGTATCCACAGATCCCGACAAGGTAGCTGCCGTGGAAAACTGGCCAATTCCAAGCGGGAGGAAGGAAGTACGCCGTTTCCTCGGTTTCACTGGCTATTACCGATGTTTCATTAAGGACAACGACGGAAAATTTCTTATAGATGGGAAAATCAACTTTATACGGTAGTGTCTAGATTCCCTGATCAGCCCGTGTATGTTGTACGTTCGATTGATGGAAATAAAGAAAGAACAGTTCTTTGGAATTTAATTATTCCCTGTACCTTTAGTACCCTTGATGAAAGCGACGAAGAGACAGAACAATTCATTTCATTCATTCCTCCACCGCCAGAATTTGCATCATACAGTTCAGAAGATAGCTCTTCGGAAGACAGTTCGTCAGATTTTGAGAACAGGTACAATCTGCGCGAAATAATTCGTCCACCAGTGAGATTTGGACATTGAGGGACTGATCATGAACTTATATTGACGAACATTTTCTTAATGTATCTTATGCTTTTATATATTTTGATTGTATCCATTTGTTTAATTGTTTTTTAAATTGTTGGGGACAACAATAGTAAACTAGGGGGGTGTATGTGAGGGTATATTTTGAATAAGTACTACATTGCGCCCTCATCCCTTGGGGATGGGACCAAGCCAGTGACAGTTCAACCGTCGGTCCGGTAACATCATTGTAAATACAGCTGACTCATTTTCCGACGTCACTCATTTAATACCATTTACAAAACGTATGTACTTTATATTTTATTCTTTACTTTTAACTGTTATTTCAATGATTTAGTAATGTTACGTTTATGTTGAACCAGGGAGTTGTTATTTAAAAGGAGTCACAACCGAATCCTCTCTTTTGATCAGTCTACTTGGGTCCTACTAAATACCACACGGGACCATTCGCGACCACACGGAACCACTCGCGACCACTCGGGACCACTTGCGACCACACGGGTGCAAAAATGATAAAAATATTACCACACGAGAGTAGAAAACTACTTAATAATCAATAGAAACCAACTTTTAGTACGGTAAAATATATTATATATAATATATAGATATTTACTCACAAATTAATTATTATTATTATTATTATTATTATTATTATTATTGCTGTGCGAATATACTCATTTGAGGTTTATGCACATTATAGGACGATTATTATTATTATTAGTAGTAGTAGTAGTAGTAGTTGTTGTTGTTGTAGTAGCATTATTATCATTGTATTATTATTATTATTTATTATTATTATTATTATTATTATTATTATTATTATTATTATTATTTATTTTCTTTTGTCTGGTACTGTTGGCCTAAATTCAGAATTCCTAAATTCATGTACAGTATATTGTGTAAGTAACCTCTGCTAATTAGCATGCATCAGCTCAGTACAGCTACGGTATATAAAACATTTGTTATTTTATAAAGTATAGGCCTAGCCCTTATTGTTTATGCTAATAAAGTGTTTAAAGAAGGTTTATTGCATGGACGACCGAGATATTCGTTTAGTAATAAACGTATTAATGTCACTAATTTTAACCTTTGTTATTTTTTTTCTAAAATGATGTGTTGTGCTCTTATTTATTGTTTCATTTAGTAATGAAAATAATTACGAGAGTGCGCCCTCTGTAAAGAGGTTGACATAGTCACGTCCAGAGCATACTTGAATTGCAAAGTTTAGCTGAGAATAGGTTCAATTTCGTTGATTGTTTTGTTGATTTGAGAGACCAGAATGTAAGTAATTATATGATGTTAATGCTAATAATATAGAGAATAATATTATGGATGGTTGGAATAGGCCTTAAATAATTTAGTTGGAATTTACAATTTGCATGAGAAGGATTAGGCCTAGCGTAAAACATGAGATACGGAGACAAAACGCCGATAGGCAGGATATAGGCCTGTGTGTAGTAAATGGCAGTATATTAATTGACGTGATAACTGTCAGAGATGATTTATTCTTATTGTTTGGGAAGTTGGAGTTAATGTCCAAGTACTGTTGAAAATATTAGATTTGATATGAATGACTCCAGATAGATGTATGAATGGTTGTCATTATTATAGGAAATGTTTAGATTTGTACTGTAACGTAATACGATCTATCGCGAGTGTAAAATGGCTAGCAGAGGCTCTGTTGGCAACGGGTACTTGTTGCTAGGCCGTCACGCTTGACTGAACATGTCAATTAATTTGAGTAGGCGTTAACCTTATAGTATTTCCCGATTGATGCGAGTTAATATTGTCTTTCTTATTATTTGTTTGCAGTTTTCGAACGTCGTTTGAAATAAACGTCATTATTATTATAAATCAACAAAGAGTGAGCCTGAGTATTTGAGTATCGACGAAACATTCGAAAAATTCAGTGTTCTGGAAGATAGTGTTTCAAAGCATTCAAGAGAATTTCCGCATTTCGGAGAGTGTATTGCAGTCATTCGAAGAGTTATTACAGTATTTCGAAGAGTTTGGTGCTGCTTTCCAAAAATTAACAGTGACAGACTTGTTCCAGTATTAAAAACATGACAGAGAACCAAAAGAAAAAAGAACTAAAGCTTGTGAGAAGGAATAAGAAGGGAACCCTTACGAGAGCACTAAAAGTGTTGAGAAACCAGCAAAAGGAAGAATTAATTATCCAAGACTTCAAAGATAGAGTTCAAAAAGTAGAGAAATTGTTTGAAGCAATTGAGGAGAGCCACGGTGAGCTTGATTGAAGATGAAGAGGAATTCCTAGAGGAAGAACAATGGATGGAAAGGTGCCAAACAGAGTTTATGGCAGAGATGAATGCGATGAAAATTAATATGACAGACCAAGGGAATCAGTCGAAGCAAACTACAAGTGCTCAAGCAGTTAGTAGCAGTAGCAGTGGAGATGAAACCGACGTTAAAGTTAAAACGGATGGAGTTACCAGTGTTTGACGGAGATGTGAAGAAGTACAGTAGATTTAAAGAAGATTTTACCAAATTTGTTCAGCCATCCACACATCCGGATCAGTTAGCATTTGCCCTCAGGCAAGCATTAAGTAGGGACCCCTTGAGAATTATAGGACCGGTGGAGGACGAATACGAGAAGATGTGGTTGAGGCTAGACGAGAGATTCGGGTGTGAAAGAAAATTAGTAGAAGCAATAATCAAGGAGGTGGAAAACAAGAAGGAAGTAAGAGAAGGTGATGGAAAGAAATTAATAGAATTCATTGACGTAGTAGAAAGCAGTTACAGAGCCTTAGTGAAAATCAAGCAAGAAAGTGAAATGTCAAATATGAAGGTTCTTGGTGAGATCGAGAGAAAGCTACCTGATACGGTGTTCCAGAGATGGGTGAGAGATAGAATAAAGACCGAAGATAAAAAGGCAGAGAAGGAAGATGTAATAGTGATGTTGATTGAGTTTTTGAAGACGGAAAGAAAGAGAGTTGAGTATACTATGGAAACTATGAGACGTAACAATTCGAGCCGTCAACAAATACCTAAATCGTCTGCGGCCCTGGCGGCGGATGTTCAAAGAGTACCACAACAACTCTGTTTAATACATGATGGTGCCAGACATAACACAGAGGAGTGCAAGTCTTACATGGCACTCAAAATTGAAGATAGAGTAAGCATACTAAAGGACAAGAGGGCATGTTTCTGCTGCCTAAAGACAGGACATATTTTTGCAAGATGCTGGAAGAAGAGGCCGTGTGGAAAGAATGGCTGTACACGGGTGCATCATCCTTCCATACATTTTTTGGTAGGAGACCAGAAGAGCCAGCAGTCAGGAACAATGGCCACCATACAAAACAACATGCACAACAATGAGGTTGGGTGCTTATT